TCTGGTGAAGGATAAACAAAAAATTACAGCCCTATGAAAGTCGTCTGATGCCATCAGCATAATTCTCCAGTAGAAGTTATTAAAAAAGTGCTGGCAGTCCTGCTCTACTTTAACAATATTCATCAATAAACATACTTTAAGCAAACACACACATTAAAAAATAAAAAAGAGAAAATAAAGAAAACCAGAAAAATATACTTACAATCTGTTGCCATGCCAACAAAGATACATTTTTTGAAGCGACATTCCTGGCACTGATTTCTTGTTACTTTGTCTATCACACATTTTCCTTCATATTTACAGGAATAAGTTGGATGGAGGTTTTTCTGAATGGTTCTTCTAAAAAAGCCCTAAGTGCAATAAATAAATGCATTAGAAAGCATTAGTATTGTGCAATTTTTTCAAATTGGGAGCCACTATGGTTTGGTAGGAATGTACCTAAGTACTCAAGATAACGTACTTCATTCCATGAAACTTTCAAAGACCAAAAGAACAAACAGTTTCATAATGTACAGCATTTCTTTCCCCGAGTTTCATGAAACATTTCTTCCCTAAAAATTAAAAACATATAGACATCTTACATAAGTAAAGGCATAAGGGATTTACATTGTCTTGAGGGACAAATACTGTCTACGTGTCTTCTTGAAGCCTTATGTTTCTGTGTGTTAAATTTTTTTGTATTTGAACTAGAGAGTTTGTTTTGAGCCCCTTCTAATACATAATCATTTTGAGGGATATTAAGAAGTATATATGTACTTCTAATTAAAGCTTAGCTTCTGCAAACAGAGAAATCATGGTGAGTATGTGCTAGTAAAGCATTAGAACAAACAGTTCTAATCCCTTCTTTTTGTCATAGCCAAATAACCAACCAACCGATCAAATCTGAGCAAGACTAAGAATTTTGCAAACACAATTTACCCAATCTTTGGTTCTAAATAATAGATCCATAATTTTAAAATGAACTTTATTTCTAAGAAGAGGAATTAATACTCTTCTTAGTAAATGAGGAAGTAAATTCATCCTGTATTTACCACAGATCTCTGTATTCAGAACAAACACCACCAAAACAGGTTGCCCAGAGAAGCTGTGGATGCCCCCTCCCTGGAAGTGTTCAAGGCCAGGTTGGATGAGGCTTTGAGCAACCTGGTCTAGTGGAAGGTGTCCCTGCTGAAGGCAGGGGGGTTGGAACTAGATGATCTTTAAGGTCCCTTCCAATCCTAACCATTCTATGATTCTAAAAAAGCTCGCTCTCTCTCTTGAAATATATTCTATCTATCTATCTATCTATCTATCTATCTATCTATCTATCATAATACATATATATATATATATTGCCAATTGCAACATGGATATGAGGTCAGATCCTAAGCTCATGAAAACTAATGTAGCTCCACTGAATTAACTGATTTATATACCTCACAGACCCTGGCCTTAGGTAAAGAAATCAGACATAACTGATCTCTGAACCTTACGGACCTAATCCTGGTACTAATTTCAATATGACTTTTCTCACTGACTTTTGCAAGGGCTGGATAATATGGACAAGATAGGATGTAAAGGAAGAAATTTAGATTTCACTTTAATTTCATTGAGACTGTCTACATTCAGCAATGCACCTTGGACTCGCACTGACATAGAGATCACGCTGAGACCCTAGTCTTGTTTGACAGAAGCCACTGTGAATGGCTTTGGTTTCAGTGAAAACAATGGCAAAATTCAAGTGAGATGGGATTTTACCTAATGAATAGTCTCTTCAACTGGAATTTCACCTAATGAATAGTCTCTTCAGCTGGGATTTTATCTGATGTATAGTCTCTTCATGTCTGTGGGAATATAATGGAAGATTGGCAAGGAGGACTCTAAATACGTTCAAGCGACTTGCAGCTGGGGATGTCCAAAAACACACACAACACTGCTAATCACTGTTTAGCCTTATGTGCTTGACAAGTAGAACATCTGCATTTCGATAACACAGGCCTGGGACAGACTCAGGGGCACCCTGAACATGCCCGGGATTCCTGCCCTGCTGGGAGAAAGATCAAAGCACCATGGAAAACTCCTGCCTGCTAAAAATCCCTGATATATACAGGAGAAAGCAGCAGGTTCAGAATCTCTGTCTCTCTCTCTAGCAAGGACCGAGCTCCGCGGTGCCTGCGCTCCCGCTGACGTGCCTCTGCCCCGGGTGCTGCTGCTGCCACTTGGAAGGTGTCTATAGATAACAGAGAATTGAATAAAGTCACCCCCCCACTTGCAGTCATGGTACCAGATATGGTTACTCTGACAGAAAAAATTAGCAAAAATTTACAGCCCTGGAAGGTGGTCATAGATCTTGCTAATTCTTTGTTTTCAATAGTCATTGCTTCAGAAAGCCAGGACCAAGTTGCCTTTACCTGGCAACAAAAGCAATGTACTTTCCAAGTATTGCCTCAGGGACACAAACACAGTCCCTCCATTTGCCATCCAATGATAGCAGCTGATGTTGCACTATGGTCAGGCACCTTTACTGCTTACCATTATATTGATAATCTACTGGTTATGGCAGAGTTACAACAAGAAATTGAAGTGGCTGGGGAATTACTGAAATCGCATTTGCAAGACTGGTGCTGGGCAATTAATCCACAGAAAATACGGGGGGCCCTAGTACTATTGTACAATTTTGGGGACTTTTAGGGCATTGGAGAACTTTTATCCCACATCTGGCAGCGTTAAGGTGCCCTTTGCAAAAATGAATTAGGAAGAAGGTTGTTTGGCAGTGGACCAAACAACAAGAAGCCTCTGATGCCTACAAAAATGCACTGATTGGGTACGTGCTATTATGGACTCCTAGGTGAGGTTATCTTTTTGATTTAGCAGTAACAATTTGAGATGATACAGCCTCACCAGGATTGTGCCAGATGACTGGGACAAAAAATCATAAGGAGCTTGCAGGATTTTGGTCCAAAGCATTACAAGGCTCCACTATACATTATACCCCGATAGAAAAACAAACTTCAGCTGTAGTTTGGGCACTACAAGAAACTGAAAGAATCACAGGCCAAAATAGCACAACTCTACACTTGCCTGTATCTAACAAGAGGTGGGTCACTGACGATTCCATTAGGGCCCGTGCTTGAGGGCACCTCAGGCAGAAACACACTGGAAATGGAAACACTATTTACAGCAACGATTGCTACCAGGAAAACCACATGTAGCCACTCCAGACACCACTCTTCTAGGAACTGTATCATTTAATCATGTGCCCACCCTAGTGGAAGCCCTCCCCTTGGAGATATCCCTGTATCTCCTGTGGAGGAAGCTCCCCCTTGGAACAAGTTAATAGAAACGTATAAAAAAGTTTACTGATGGGAGTGCAATATACACAGCCACTGGACAAAGACAACAGAGAGCAGTTGCATATGCTCCACTACCAGGAATTGTATTATGGCAAACAGTGTACAGGCATCTAACCGTGGGCTGAACCGACTGCAGCGTCTCTTGCTATCCTGGAAGGGAAGTGACATTATCTATGCGCTGACAGCTAGATTTTATACAAAAGTTTCACAATGTGATTGCGTTGCTGGGCCCAAGAAGACTGCCATCTAGATGTGAATACTCCTATAATAACCCTTGAGAATGCTGTATGGTTCTGTACCCTTACTTCTCCTCTTATTTTACACCCTTTGTTGATATCAGATTCTCAAGTTCTTGTATTTCAGGTACCTCCAATGAATACCTGTGCCTCATCTAGAGGAGACAGCATTGGAACAGTGTTATTGGTGTCACGAACCCAATATCAAATTGAAGTTCAATTTGAAAAAGCCCAAGCCACAGCTCTCCAATCTGTGTGGGTAAAGAGCCCACGTCAGGTTATCAAACCCGAATATCAGCTGAAGGAGCTGGAGCAACAGCTTATGTATTATTGGAGGGTGATGACACTCTTGCTTTCCTCCTCCTCACAGGTTGGCTCACCATGCTTTATAGTCTTATACTACAAGCACATGCCCTGGATACATTTCTGCACGTCCAACATGTGAATACTTACATTTGGTTAGCCTCTGCTGTAACTAACTCATCTGCATTTTGCATTAAGGGAAGTTTAACAGCTGCAGATCTTTTGACAATGTGTCTTACTGGCGTACCAATCCTAGTAGCTGTATTACAGCTAAGTGATTCTGATGTTAAAGTTTCTCATTACTATTTTTTCTGAGTAGGTGATGGCTGTACACCAATGAACATCATTATAATATTATACTGACGGTGGACTATTTCCTCCACAAATGCTCCTCTGATTCTGAAAGCACGTATTGCTTCAACACAACTAACGAATCAGCCAGCGTAGAGGACGACATTCAACATCTCCAAGACTTAATGCATCAAATGAATCAATCCACTACTGGTGCCTAGCTGGATGAGTGGTTTGCTTTCCTGACAGGATGAATGGGACACCTGATTCAAAGTATTATTGTACAGATAAGTTTATTTCTTATTCTATATGTATGTGCCTCTGTAACTCTGAGCTACACCCCACAAGCCCAAATGGACACCTCCAGCTTTGCCATCCATAGCAGAAGAGGTCTCTTGAGCGAGGGGGTGGAACGTGGGAATATTATGGAAGATTGGCAAGGAGGACTCTAAATACATTCAAGTGACTTGCAACTGGGATGTCCAAAAACACACACAACACTGCTAATCACTGTTTAGCCTTATGTACTTGACAAGGAGAACATCTGCATTTCGATAACACAGGCCTGGGACAGACTCAGGGGCATCCTGAACATGCCCGGGATTCCTGCCCTGCTGGGAGAAAGATCAAAGCACCGTGGAAAACTCCTGCCTGCTAAAAATCTATGATATATACAGGAGAAAGCAGCAGGTTTGGAATCTCTGTCTCTCTCTCTAGCAAGGACCGAGCTCCACGGTGCCTGTGCTCCAACTGACGTGCCTCTGCCCCGGGTGCTCCTTCAGTGATCCCCCCCCAGTTTCTGAGGTAACAAGAATCAATCTGCTCTTTGCATTTTATCTGTGGTTTTTGTGGTTGTTCCTGCATCCTGCCTGTGTCAGCTCACACATTGTCATTAGGCAAAAAGTCTGTTTTTAATCATGTTAAATAACAGCCAGTAAAATCTTATAGCAGTGTGTAATTTAACATAGAACGTTGAATTAAGACATATGGATAAGTCTGTATTTCAGCTTGAGCTCCTAACTGCAGTGAAGACAATAAAGAGCTTTGTCCTCAGAGTTTTATCTTGCAAGATCCAGCTCAGCTAAGAGTACAACTCTTTCCTAACAAAAAGACCTGAAAATCTCAATTAAACTGAGTTGCACAAAGCATGTCTGTGAGCCTTGAGAAGACTGGGACCTGTTGGGTTGAGCCAAAATCAGTAAGTCAAAGGCAAGATGTCCTTATGTGGGGTTTGGATCAGGTCTCAAACTCTCATTTACCCAACAACTGAATTTGGATCCACTCTCAACCCTGTGACAAATTCCTGCAGACATGATCTCTCTGAAGATCAAAGATGGTTCTGGACATCCAGGGACACGGGCTAATCGCTAGTTACAACAAGAGATGGAAAAATCTCTGATGAATCCCCGAAAAGTGGTACTGAACTCCTGTTTCCAAACCTTGCATGGGACATAACGTAGCTCTAGCTTTATAATGGCAAGGCGCTTCACCAGCATATTTCACCTCCCCAATTCTTTGCATTTCTCAAAAACTTTTTGCAAGAAACATCTTCGATCATCTCTAGATGCAATGTGGTAAGGAAGCTGCTTTCTGTATTTGTCCAAATGCTTTGTCACATAAGTGTTATTTTCATCAATAAAAGAAAGCACGATTTATTGTAAGGCAAGTGCTCTTCTCCTAAATTCCTTTTATTATGCACCTATATAGCAATAGATGCAATGAGTACAGCTCAGAGAAACATCTCAGTGCTGTCAGAACTCACTGTTGCTTTATTTGTGTTCATGAAAGCTCTTGCCAAAGCAGATTTTTTTACTGTCAGCCCTGATTAATGTTGTTACAAAACTAAAGCGATTTTGAGTGGAAGCAACTAGTAAATGTCAAATTCATTGAGAATTGATTACATATAACTTTGCTGATAAATCATACAACTTGAAATGTGAACGCATTGTGAAATTGTCCACACAAAAAACCCTATAATCTTGTACATATTTGCAAGAAGTACAGCAAAACAAAACAAAACAGAACAGAACAGTCTGTTTGTAAGCCAAATGTAAGTAGAAAAAATAAATTAATTACTTTTTGCAAATTGTTAGCTCAGTTCTTTGTACACATAAGCATTAGTTTAAATTGTATATCAGACAGAAGAACTGTATCTGAAGATAAAAGCAGATTTTGAATGCTATATCTTTAAAATAGTTGGTAGGTATAAAAATAAATACTTCAGTTAAAGTACCAAAAACCTTAGTAGGAAAGCTGGTGAGACATATAGCTGTTCAGCTGGGAGCAAAAGACATTTCATAATGCCACAGTGTCACTTCTCATTATATCTGAATTAAGTCAAATTAATACATTCTACATATTGCTATAATCTGGTATATGGAATGCAAATATGTAAGAATCACTTGTTCAGTTCCGTATTTTTTTCATATATGAATATTTTTTCATACATATTATGTATGTATGTGTATAAAACCATTATGAGTATTACCACAAATCTGCTATACGTATGATATTTACGTCTTTGTGCATTTCATAAATGTAACTTAGGGCAATGCTGTACAACTGAAGGAACTACTTCAAGAAGAGAGCTACTGAGATGTGGAGCTCTAAAGCCAATCACTAAACCCAAAATCCCAAATCCAAATATTCCAGACTTTGGTGATGAACAGAATTAAGACTTTTGTGGCTTAGTCCCATTACACTAGTCCATGACACATATGGTCTCATTTGTTTAGAAAAACATTATCACTTTTTGTTTTCTGCATAAGAAATAATATCTTTCTTACAGGATCTCAAGCTATTCAGGCAAACTTATGGCAGTGAAATAATGTAAGATGTGCCTGTTACCTTGTTTTGTTTTTTTTTTTTAATTTGCCCAAAACAATCTCATTTCTAATTTTGCATGTAGCTTTGGAGGTGCAATTTAGGGCTGAAAGCACGTTTCAATATGCTTAAGTTAAAGAAGTCAACATTTTTTTGAAACTACATCAATGCTTCCCAAAGTGATGGATGTTACTGTTGTACGAGCATGTGGAAGGGGTTTTGATTTTTGCTTCTTCGCAGTGACGATGAGAGGCACTGGAATACTGTTAATCAAGACAGACTCCTCATGGCCATAGGCAGAACCTCAGCTACTGCATAAACAGCTTCACTGGAGTTGCAGGGAATATGTTGATGTACACTGGCTGAGAACACAGCCAAAGAAACACTAAAAAATGGAAATGTAAAAGCTAACAGCTAAACAGCAACAACCAAAAACTAAATTCCTTGGTTTATTTTTAGAAGCAAACACTGCAAAAATCAACTATATTCCTTATGCATATGAAGAGCAGCAGCATAGCCAGATACCGCTTATCATCAGTACTGGATGTTCTTATTCGCTTCTAATCTGTCTTTGTTTTATTTGACAGTACAGTTCAGAAAGTCTGTATAATGGAGGAGCAGAAGAGCTATTTTGGATTCCCATTTTCCCCCTGTGCCATTTACCTTGCAACCTTCGCAAGTGATGCAGCGATAATGATATCCGGTGGCTTTGTCCCCACATACTACACATAGCTCATCCTTGTCTAAGTAACTGGGTATATACCCTGCAAAGAAAAAGAAGATGCAGCATGTAAACTCGATACAAAATGGTATGATACACTTGATATAAAAATATTATGTTAAAATACACTTGTCTACCTGAACTCACTGAATTTCCTGAATAAAAAGCTCATACTAACAATGTTACGGCCTTAGTAAACCTAGTCTATAGTATCTTTGACTTTTCACACTGTTTCAGCGTCTAGTGGTCAAGAGGGAGAAGCTGGAACATGACTGTTCTCTCCTGAGTGAAATACTACCTCAGAAAAAGAAATACATTTATTTTTACCTCAAAGGCTTTCATATGCATAAAAAAATAATTGCAAGACATACAGTATATTCCTCTATTCTGCTTCACAAAAAACCCTGATGTAGTTGTACACTGAAGATTAGATCCCAGGTGGCAAGGTGACTCAGGGGCCTGGTCATAAGAAATATTTACTGAAAGATTGTTTGTTTCAGAACAGTTCTGCAGGTGTGGTTAGAGAAGTACCAGCAACCAATACAACCCCAGCTGTATTGACCATACCTTACCTGGGCATGTTCTGCAAGAACATTTCATACAGCCTGAATATAGGGCAAAATATGTGGGCATTTAAATGTGTGTGTGTGCATGCATGTGTTAGAATGACATTTTCTCTTCTGAAGTGGTACTAGACACCCAGTAAGTGAAATCAAGTATTACTGCTATGAAAAATATTGGCAATGCTTGGTTCTTTTCCCACAATGACAGTTGTTTTGATAACATAAACATATTTTCAATTTGAGCAAAAAAACAAAACAATGCTGATGGCAACCAAAAAGTCATTCTAAACTAAAGAGAACTGCAAAACAGGGTAAAATACAAATCTTTCAAAATGTGTTCCCATGACTCATAATTAACGGAACTATGGTACGTAACTTTTCCTTTGGAAAAATCTCTCTGTAACACAGAGATCTCAAACTCCCTTTGTTGTTTGTGTTATTTGTGTAACCTCAGAAGATTTTAAAAGTGTAGTAAATATTTCACAGAATCCCAGAATGGCTGGGGTTGGAAGGCACCTCTGGAGATCATCTGGTCCAACCCCGCTGCTCAAGCAAGGCCACCTACAGCCAGTTGCCCAGAACCATGTCCAGAAGGCCTCTGGAGAACCTCCAAGGATGGAGACTCCACAATCTGTCTGGGCAACATGTGCCTGTGCTTGGTCACTCTCATAGCAAAACAAAAAAATTATTTTATTGTCTTCAGAAGGAATTCCCTCTATTTGTGCCCACTGCCTCTTGTCCTGTCATTGGGCACCACTTGGAAGAGTCTGGCTCTATCTTCTTCCTGATGGGGTAATCAGGTATTTATACACATTGATAAGATCCCCCCTGAGCCTTCTCTGCTGCAGGCATAACAGTCCCAGCTTTCTCACCCTGTCCTCACAGCAGAGATGCTCCAGGCTCTTCACCACCTTTGTGGCGCTTTGCTGGACTCATTTCAGTATGTCCGTGTCCTTCTTGTACTGGGGAGCCCAGAAGTGGACCCAACACTGCAGATGTGTTTCACCAGAGCTGAGTAGAGGGGAAGGATCACCTCCCTCATTCTGCTGCTGCTGATCTTCCTAATGCAGACTAGGATGCCATTGACCTTCCTTGCCTCAAGGACACACTGCTGGCTCACCTTCAACTTGCTGCCCACCAGGAAGCCCCAAACACTTCAATGCAAAGCACTTTCCAGCTGGTCAGCACCCAGCCTGTACTGCTGTATCTATTATTCCTCTCCCTGTGCAGGATTTGCCATTTCCCTTTGATGAACCTAACCTTCCTCTCATCCCATTTCTCCAGCCTGCCTACATCACTCTAAATGGCATCTGGTGCACCAGCCACTCCTCCCAGTTTTGCATCGCCTGCAAACTGGCTGAGCACAACTTATGAGTGCAATGAGGGAAGAGTCCTTTGGATGTGGCTGCCTTTAACACTATTCCTTCCACTGGCTTGCTGAACCCATCTGTAGCATCACATGTTGGACCAGACCCTAAGCTTGCTGCCCTTGTGCAGCCCTCACACCAGCATGTTTCGGTACCGCTTGGGGACTTGAAACGCCACAGTCACACAGGGGACAACCAGCAACAAGACTCAGAGCAGCAGAAGGCTGCTGGAGTACACTGCAAGGCAGGTGGCCGTCATCTTCCTGTGACTAACATGCCAGGGGGTCAGCTCAGTAACAGACAGCTTAAATAAAAGCACCTCCTAGGACTACACTTGCGTTAAATAAACTTGCTGGAGGTCCTCCAGAAAGAAAAGTCCAGATCAGAAAGAAAATACTTGAAATTAACTGAGCTTAAAATACTTGAACTTTCTGGAGGATGACGAGTGGATTAGGAGAAAGTAAAGAATGCAGAAAGTATTTGTATGGACTACTGTGTATGTCTAGTTTGAGCACTGTCCTGGGTTTGGTTAGGGTAGAGTTAATT